TAAATATGCATAGGTTTTGTTTTTTACGGGTATCACAGAATGTCGTAATCGGTCATCTACTGCTAAAGACACATGCTTCACCCGCCTGAGGGATTAACATGAAGGTTATTGAATCTCCTCTCTCAATAAAGGTCGATACCGTTCTAGTTCTTCAAACAAAGGTTATGCTGTAATCTAACGGAATATACAATATTTTATAGCAGCATATTTTAAACGTTTACCAGGTAATAAATTAATTTATGCTGTCAATATACTCCAAATATGAATGGAAAGGTGTTAGGCACATTGTTATTTTTTAAGTGGCAGAGCAGCACTGCAGCTATATTATGGTTATAGCACGAATGGGTCGGTTAAACCGGGGTAGGATCACGCTATAATAGGATACCAGCGAAAAATAGCAGCTTAATGTAGCTTTCGTATGGTGAGTGTAGAGAACCGGAGGCCTTTTATACTAGAAACCAGCTGTTACCCGCGGCTTCGCCCGCATGGTCACTGGGAAATGAACTATCCATTGCTTTTTGAATTGAAAGAAAACTGAGTTTTATAGATTTGTCAGAGATGCAGCCATTAAAAGGAAACTGAGCAAAATTGATTCGTCAGCCTATTTAAATGTTTTGAAACGCAGCATATAGGAAAGCATGAAAATAGCCTGTTTATTCCAAATGGAAATAGGATATTTTTTTAATTAAAGGAAACTGAGCATAATCATCCGTCAGGGATGCAGACTTTTTAAAAGAAACTGAGCTAAATTGATTCGTCAGAGATGCAGTTTTCTGAATTGAAAGGAAACTGAGCCAAATAAAAAATCCGTCAGAGATGCAGCCTTTTGAGTTGAAAGGAAACTGAGCTTAATAGGTCCGTCAGAGGTGCAGTATTTGGAATTGAAAAGAAACTGAGATAAACAAGAAATTTTGAATTGAAAGGGAAGATCTGTGGGAATTCTGATTAATTGATTGTGGGAATTTTGGAAAAAAAACTAACTGAACACTATTTTAAGACGCTACTGTACACAATGTTATATGTTTTTCCATTCGAGGAAAGATGTGGAGATTCTGGGCATTTGACACACGCGAACATGCTACATACAACTGACCATGAGAGAAGCACGATTTTTCTAAGTTGACCCCCGCTACCTGTAACGTTTGCCCTTGCGCTTTATTAATTGTCATTGCAAAACTGAGCTTAATAGGGAACTGCAACCTTTTGAATTGAAAAGGAAGATCTGTGGGAATTATAGGGATCCGTGGTATAATAACATTTTTACCTTTTCCTACACCTGTCAAAATTGTAGCACCGATTAGGTTCCGTCCAAGATGTGTCACACGCAGCCTTGTCCCGTTACATAACCGAGGAGCATCTAAATTTCGCATTAGCATGACTGGGACACCTAATTTTAATTGAAGCTTATGTGAGGGCACACCTGACAACTCTAGAGAATTTAGAAACTCTGCGGGATATGAAGTGCTCTGTTCTGTGTCGATAACTGTGTCTACTAACAAATACTCTGTTATTTCTCCTGCTACTTCGCTTAATATATCTGAATTTATTTTGTTAACGCTCTCATTTTTTGGTGCAAGAATCGCCCTTTCACATAACCATTTGTCTTCATGCATGTTGTTCGTTAAATCTGAATAAACGCTCGCAATTAATTCGGAATGACTCTGCACTAAATTACAAAAATCTCTCGTCAATTTAACGCAGCCCTCAGCATTCGTTTCCAACCGCCCATCGCCAATTTTTAATAGTGTGTCAGCATAGTTTCCAGCACTGATATCATTATACAAATGCACTCTCATATTCGTAGTTAAACTGAATTTTGTCACCTTGTTCCATAAAATAGACGACTTGAGGCATGCTTTAATTTCATCTGCAGATGTGCCCTTTTGAATGACAGGTAAAGTTTGGCGAAAGTCACCAGCCAGTAAAACCACCATTCCTCCCATTACATCGGTATTGCTACGCAAATCCTGGAGGGTCGATTTAGTGCTTCTACAGCTTTTTTATGCGATATTGTACTTTCGTCCCACACTAAAAGTTTGCATTGTCGTAGCATTATACCTCGTGCACTATTTTTGCTAAAGTTGCAGATCGGTGATTCTTCCTGGGCTAGATTTAGAGAGAGTTTAAAAACAGAATGTGCAGTGCGGTCCCCGCTTAGCAGCGTGGCGGCTATACCGGAGGAAGCTACGGACACAGCAGTTTTTATCATTCCGTACTTGCGCTAATAATAAATTTAAAAAAATGTCTTCCCAGTTCCTCCAGGGGCATCCAAAAAGAAAAGTGCACCATTTCCAGATTCAATTTGTCCTAATACTTTGTCAAAAACTCGTTCTTGTTCGAGAAGCAAGCGGGGTACAAATTCGGCTACTTGCTGCTGCAAAGCTGGTATATAGTAGTTTGTTTCACGTATAATTTCATCACTTAGTTCATTTTCGGTTGTTCGCTGAGGGCTTATCATTCCAAAGTCGCTTAATTTTTTTGCCTACCATTGACATTACTTTATCTTCAATTTTTCCAAGTGCTTCATTATAAATGTGTGCTTTGTATGTCATGTTCACGTGTGTCTGCTGTAACCTTCGCAAAATATCTTCCGCCATGTACTCTTTATATTTGTCCCACAATTCATGTGCATTAGATAGCCCGCAAGATGATATGAGAGTTGCATAAAGATCCCTAATTTTGGCTGGTTACTGGTACTGCACAGCTTCCTCCATGGTTTCATCCCAGTGATTATCGTTTTCTAAAAGATGCAGAGCGATGGCATTGGCAATTGGCAGCGATGGTCTACCTCAATTTCTTCACATGCTTCTCTATAAGTTGCGCATTCCTGACCTTTGACAATTTTAAGGTCTTTATATCCTGTAGGACCCCGAACATGGTGAAGCAGCAATCGTAAACAGAAACATTCAAAATTAGTTACATGGACGGTATACACACGACCAAGGGCATCTGATGACTTTACACCGGGCCAATTTGCAAAAGGCGCGCCTTGAATACGGCGTTTCTACTCTTTTCTAGATGTGTTCCAAGTATAATAGCGGGGGACTTCAGAATATAACAACGTTTTTGCAAAGGGGTCGATTTGACAAAGTTGAAAGAAGGCTGTTAGTGTAGTTTTTGGCGGTGATGCAATTCTTTTTTGGAAATTTCTTTCGGTGAAATATACGCGCTCTCCATTTTCTAAGTGCACAGCAAGGTGAGTAACTGTTGGGTGTTTTTCGTGTAAAGGGAAGCCAAGGAGACACCACGCTGCCTCGTTACTGCTGACATAACGCTCTGCTTGAAAGGTCTGTACTTCATTAACGGGATTTGCCTCACCTTCACTCCTGAGATTAAATATTGCTTGGTCGCTTCCTTTATTTATGTACATACAGATATACTTGATTGGCGCGGACAGAGCTACATGCTTCTACATTAATGTGGGCATTAAACATTTTACATAGAATGGGCGAATACGGGACAATCCAGCTGTTATCTAAGGTTTCGAACGCTCCAGAGCAAGATTTGATTGTAACTTTCCTGCCAGCATCTTCGGGAGCTCTGCGTCTGTATAAAGGGTAGCCATTGTCATTGTGCACTGTTTCTTTAATAGCTGTTTAGGGAATTTCTTTGTACATTATCCTTCTTTAATACATGGCGATACTGAATTTCGTGCTCCACATGGACCGTGAATCATATTTCGGACGATGGTATCATACAATTCTTTATCTTGCCCAGGATCCGGAATCTCGGCGCTTATAATGTCGTCTATTTGGCTGGGCCGCAACTTCTCTTTAGGCCATATTAGAATGTGGGCATGCGGTAATCCTCTTTTTTGCCATTCAATTGAATACATGAAGCACTGCACCTCTCCGAAAATTTTCCCTTTGTTAATTACGTACATTAATTTTTGTACTTTTAATGTAAATATGAAAAGTTACTTTTTTGGCCCGGCATTAGCTTCTCGGTTATTTCTTTCCAAGTGGGATTGCAGTAAAAGTAACAAAAATATCAGGTCTTCCGTAAGTTCGTATATAGGCGAATGCGTCTTGTGTGTACTCATGTAGGTAGCGGGGACTGTTAACGAATGATGAGGGCAGAATTACCATTTTACCTACATCTCTGGGGTTTAAATTGGCTTCGCTAGAAACTGCATCTTGTAAATGCATATAATTCTCAACGCGCAGCTTTTTTGATTTAAAGATATATAACGGAGACGTTCACTTTCTACCTTCACATACATGTCTACCAAAAATTTATGAAATAATTGTCTACACCGGGCTAAGAGGTAAGAGGTAAAAATCCATACATAATACTTTTTTGTTTGGAGTAAGCTCCTTTATGACCGGGTTAATGAGTGGAATTTGAAAATGATAACCCTCTTGTCCTTTGCAATAAATCAATGGGTATTGCAGAGCGTCATAAAACTTGTGTGTATCGGCTACCCGTTGCAACATATCATCACGTGCTCGCAAGACAATGTCTCGTGAAGAAAATTGATCACCACTAATTACGGCTGCTATTTCGTTTATCAAAGGTGCATTGTAGCGCCTTTCATGCTCTCCTCGAGGTGCGTGATTTTAATCTCTTCTAGGTTTTCTAAAGCAGTTTTAAATGTTTTGACTAAAATGTTACTTTCATGCAAGATTCTTTGAATTTTGAACACTGTGTCTCTCTCAACTCCCTGGATAAATTGGCAGCGATGGTCTACCTCAATTTCTTCGTCACCCATAAAATATACTTGTAAAAATTTATGCTGTTCGTTTTCACCTGGAAAAAGTGAACCTATTCTACGACAAATTTGCCCTTGCACCGTAAATGTAGGCGAAAATCCCGGCATTATTATTTCCCGGTCAACTCCGAAGGACGTCATTTGAAAGCATGAGTTATATTTCCGGATTCTGTTTAAAAAGCACCGTGACTCATTAGCATCATATAAAAAGAGAGTTTTCAAAGGTTCTTCTGGTTCCCCAAGTAACGGAAGAGACACTTTGCCATTGGAACAGCACATGCCTGCGGTCTCATCTTTCCATTTTAAAGCGCTGCGAAATCGACACGCCTTGTCCATCAGTTCGATAACAACTTAACCTGTGATTTTTATAATCAATCAACGGATCATAATTGAATGCTGCGTCATTAAAAATCGACCTATTGTTTCTTTGAAAATTTTGTCGACGTTCAGCTTGGAGCTGTGCATTTGCATCTCTTCGCGCCTGTGTCCGTTCTGGTGTTTCAGATGCCCTTATAGTAGATTGACGTTCAGCTTGCTCAATGAGTCTGTGTTGAGTTTCATCAGGTGTTTCCGCGGCTCTTAAGGCGGCCTGACGTTCCGCTTGTTCGAATAGCCTTTGCTGACTTTGAGCAAGTGTTTCAGTAGCTCTTAAAGTAGAGAGCTTGTGTTCAGCCAGGTTTCCTTGACGCTCTGCCTGTTCAAGACGCCTTTGCTGACTTTGAGCAGGTGTTTCAGTATCTCTTAAAGTAGCTTGACGCTTTAACTGTTCAAGACGCCTTCGCTGACTTTGAGAAGGTGTTTCAGAAGCTCTTAAATTAGCTTGACGCTCTGCCTGTTCAAGACGCCTTTCCTGACTTTGAGAAGGTGTTTCGCAAGCTCTTAAAGCAGCCTGACGCTTTGTCTGTTCAAGACGCTTTTGCTGACGTTGAGAAGGTGTCTCAGATGCTCTAAAAGCAGCCTGACGCTCTGCTTGTTCTTGCCTTCTCAGTTCAGCATCTTCTAAAGATTCTAGCGATCGAGCTAATCTTTTCGCTAGTCTTTAAGAAGATACTCTTGAAAGGCTGGACTTACGTTTGCGAGGCATTATGAAGTTACAAAAAATCTATTTATAAAAAAACGTTAAAATACCTAAAAGAAATTAAATTTCATTTTAAATATTTTTTAAATCAAATCCAAAATATCTAAAAGGTATAAATATTCCTTTTAAATATTTTTTAAAATCAAAACAACAAAACCAATTCAAGACACAACACGAATCCGAAAACGATAGCCAAAAAAAATCTAATCAACTTAAATTAAATCATAAAACAAATCGCAGAAAACCGAAATCGAAAGTAGTAGTCAATATAAATATAACCAACGAAAAAAGAAGTAGTATATAGGTACCGTATACACTATCTATACTATTAATATTCCTTTGAAATATTGTTAAACAACCTAAAACAACGAAAACCAGTTCACGATTCTATATAAACAAAATCCAAAAGCAAAGCCAGAGTCTAAATATGTATAAAGGAATACCAACCAAATCAACAAAACCGATCCAAGAAAATACACAAATTCGAAAATGAAAGCCAATATAAGCTATCCATTCAACCTTAACCAAATCACAAAGCAAATAACAAACAACCGAAATTGAAAGCAGGTAGTCGAATAAGCTACGAAATAGAAATAATTTAAGCGTATAGGTACCGTATGCACTATAAGTTGACGCGCCGCTCAACGACGGGAGTTAAGTACATGTCAGGAAACATTTCGTTACCGCGTTTTAAAAACCTAGTAACGACATCTAGCGAAATCAATTTAAACTATGTATACGTTATACTCTCAAAAAATATTTTTCTTATAATTTTGTACAATTTTTCTTATTGTAATACCGATTCATTCATAACCACATATAAGAGCTGTATTCATTTCCGTTCAATAAATATTACTAAGGCTTAACGTTCAATAAATATTATTAAGGCTTACTAAGAACTGTTTCTACCACAGTTGAGTAATAGTTAAGGGTGAAAGTGTGACAGGTGGTGATAGTATTTCCGATCCATACTTGTAATCACGCCTGTAACCTTTGCGGGGTAGGCAGAGCATCAACGGATTACTTAATATCGTCTGCGAGGTTATCGCCTATTCTGTGAATTACAATGCACCAAAACGTTTGAAGAAAATCAGCTGGTGAATTCTATGTTTTTAATCGCTCTCTTCTCGATCCTGCGTGGAAAAATACAGATACTTATATTTTTTATCTTAATTTTGGTAAAAAGACATAATAATCCAGATATTCTGACCTTCTGTGTTCATCCATCGTACCGTCGTCCGTCGCTTAGAATCACGGTGGCGCCACCTAGCTGAATTTAATTTTGCAACATATTCGATTTTTCCACGAGAATAATACGTTTTTTCGCTGAAAAAAAAAAAAATTTAGTAGCCTATGTCATTCTACAGCCACCGAACTATCCCCATACAAAAAATCATGCCATGCCGACGCTCTGTTGCGACGTGAAAGAAGGACAAACAAACAAACACACTTTCTCATTTATAATACTACTAGTAGGGAAGTATGGATAATGCATACCATCTGACTAAGATAAGTAAGCTTCAGGGATGACTACGCATCTGCTTTTCAATACTTAATAGAGGATAAATGTAGATGTCTATATGCCACAGCATTCACTTACCATCAGGTGGACTATGTGCCCGTTTATGACCATTATTCTATATAAAAAGAAATATGCACTGCATTTACATGGACTTTGTGATGAAATACTTAAAACAATCGCAACAAAACGTTGTAAAAGAGTACCATGGCTCTTTTGTATCGTTTTTTAACTCAGGGATCGAATATCGATCGAATGGTATAAGAAAAAACTCGCCTTTTGGCATGAAATAGTCGATAGCAATTTTAAGTACTGATGAAAGATAAGAAAAGAAAATATAGTCACACAATTTTGCAATGGTTATAAATAAGTTACACACCAAACACAGGTCAGTCTTAAATGCCTAAAATATGCAACTACTTACCTTACACACTGAAATCATACTAAATCTCCATACCCTTCAAACCAAAATATGAGGGTCTGGACAGAACGATTTCTACAGGACTCTTTCTGTCTGGCCGTCCGTCTGTGTATGTACAGTCATCTCACTATTTTCTGCGCCAAATAGCATTGCCTTAATAGTTGTATATAACATTACTACGATGCTTACTCTTAACATATTCTAAAAGTATACAGATAACTTTCAAAAACCTACACGGGAAATATTCTAATGGCACAAATGTACGCTCAACTGGATTTACCACTCGTTCTAGCCTTCGTCTATTCATCAACCTTTACAAGTTTACAGTTGGTCCTTACCCATTGCAGGAAGAATACAAGCAGATTCGTGATCGTATTACCAGACATCTCACACTTTTAGACTGAAATGAAATCTTTATTTGTGGACGTAAAATGAAATTAAGTTTGTAACTTATTGCTTTGAAACTGATTGGATTATACGAACATTGCAATGAAAATGTTACATAGAAGGTTTAGTCTGTTACAGTGTTTGACCTCACATTCATTTCGTGTGGCGGAGTGTCCCTAGAGGAACAGTCTGTCTCCAGACTAAATATTAGCATACGCGAATGAATGTCTTTGTTGGCGGGATATTATTGTTTTAAAATCAAGTGTAGTAAAAATAACCACACTCCGCCACACGAAATGAATGTGAGGTCAAACACTGTAACAGACTAAGCCTTCTATGTAACATTTTCATTGCAATGTTCGTATAATTTCAGTTTCAGAGCGATAAGTCGTAAACTTAATTTCATTTTACGTCCACAAATAAAGATCTAATTTCATTCTACAAGCCATCTTAAAATGTGAGACGTCTGGTAATACGATCGTGAATCCGCCTGCATACTTCCTGCAATGGGAAAGGTCCAGCTGTAAGCTTGTAAATGCTGATGAAATGAATAGACGTAGGCTAGAACGAGTAGAAAATCCGATTGTGCCATTAGAATATTTTCAGTGTAGGTTAAAAGTTATTATATACTTTTAACATATATCAAGAGTAAACTTCTTAGTTATATTACATTTACACAGCAGTTAAGGCAATGCTATTTAGCGTAGAAAATAGTGAGATGACCGTACACGGACGACCAGAGAGAAAAAGAGTTCTGGTAGAATTTGTTCTGCCTAAAATATGCAATTACTTGCTTATTTTACTCATATTTTACTTGCATATTTTACTTGGCATTTAAGACTGGCCAATGTGTGGTGTGTAGCTTGTTAACAAACACACAACCATTGCAAATTGTGTGACTATTTTTCTTTCTTTTCTTATCTTTCATCAGCACTTAAAATTGCAATCGACTATTTCATGGCGGCACCCAAACCCCGGCGGGATTTAAACTAATGTAAAAAACAGTACCTGAGGAAAAAACGATTCAAAAGAGCCATGGTACTCTTTCACAACTTTTTTTTTGTGATTGTTTTAAGTATTTCATTACAAAGTCCTTGTAAATGTAGTGCATATTTCTTTTTATATAGAATAATGGTGATAAATGGGCACATAGTCCACCTGATGGTAAGTAAATGCTGTGGCATGTAGACATCTACATTTATCCTCTATTAAGAATCGAAATGCAGATGCGTTGTCACCGCTGAGGCTTATCATCTTAGTCAGATAGTATACCCAGTTTCCAGTAAAAAGGGTCTCCGGTTCTCTACACTCACCATACGAAAGTCAGCAGCATTAAGTTGCTATTTTACAGTGGTATTCTATGGCGTGTTCTTACCCCAATCGAGACGACCCATTCATGTTACACCCATAATATAGCTACAGCGTGGTTCTAACACCTTTCCATTCATATTTGGAGTATATTGACAGCATAAATTAAATAGTTGTTCAAATATTATATATTCCGTTAGATTACAGAATAACCTTTGTTTAAATAACTAGAAAGATACCAACCTTTATTGAGCGAGGAGATTCAATTACCTTCGTAGTAATTAATCTATTACCTGGTAAAGGTAAATACCTATAAAATATTGTATATTCCGTTATATTACAGAATAATCTTTGTTTAAAGAACTAGAACAGTATCACCCTTTTTTGCGCGAGGAGATTCAATAGCCTTCATGGTAATTCCTCAGGCGGGTGAAGCCTATGTTTAGCAGTAGATGACCCATGACGACATTCTGTGATATTCATAAAAATTTAATACACAGCGTAAATTTTGAATACACACACAGACAGATAGACAAAAACTCTAAAAATTACTAATTTGGCTTCACTACCATTTATTTTGACCACTAGGCTTGTTTTTTTTTTATGAATATATCAGAAATACAGACGGGACTTTTGTACAGATTTATTTTATGTATAGATACCTAGTTTAACACTGGGATTAAAAAAAAACAAATTTAATGTGCATATAAGCTATTACTTTATATTATAATATTGTCCCGAAAAATTATAAATTGGTCCTGACAAACCTAGAGTGGCTTAAAGCATAGAACAATTAAAGAACTAAAAAAACTACTATTATGCTGTTTGAAAATAAAACAAATATTCATATCGTATTTATTTATTTTTTATTTAAAGTGGCAGACAATCTTGTAGTCTACCTGGTAAATGGCTACAGCAGCCCATTTTTTACGCCACAATTTTTTACGTGGCCATGCTGCAGCTATATTAAGTGTATAGTTGTAGCACGATTGGGTCGGCTCGACCGTGGAAGGACCACGCTCTCAAAGAATACCAGCGTTAAATAGCAGTTTAATGCTGTTGTGTTTCGTATGGTGAGTGTAGAGAACCGGAGACCCTTTTTACTGGAAAAGAGGCCTTCTATCTTAATCCACAAGACTGACAAGGCATCTGCATTTTGATTCACAAACGAAGATAGATGTAGATGTCTATGGGCCATAGCATCCACTTACCATCTGATGGACTGTGTGCTCGCTTGTCACCCTTTTCCTATAAAAAAATTGACTACTACAACAGACATTACACGAAGAAGGCTTCATTTGTGTTGTCATAATTGAGGCCTAATATGCAATGTCCTACAGTATGTAATTAAACTGGCTCTCTTTACCCTTT